GTAGCTTGTTTTCATCTTGCCCAGTACCTTTTATACAACAGTATCTTTTACCACATCAGTCCCGTCTGCACACAGTTCACTGGTTTTCTGTTATTCCAGGTTCAGTTCAAAATGACTTCTCATTGACCCAGCCAATTTCACAATACTTTATAATTTAATTCCACTCTCCATGTCCTTTGCTTATCTAGCTTCGGATTGATCTCTCTCTCTCTCCAAACAGTTTGTCTCAAGCAGACAAGGTGCTAGGTTTTGGGGGTTTTTTTTTGCGACTCCTTCCATTGAAAGAAACATCCTATAAGGCTTTGTCTTGTGAGGTCTCTCAAAATTCTTAAATATTCTTAAATATCTTCTCCTTTTCTCTACTTTTAAACTTATTTCACACTCTAGTCCCTTTCAACTAGGGTTTGACTTCACAACTGCACAAAATCAGCTTTAGACAGCATTTACTGCAGATTGTTTTAAAGATCGGATGTACTAAAAGGGAAACAGCCAAACAGATGTGGGAATTTGGTGAGCTGTGCTGTAGATTGGAGAGAAAGGAAATACCCTTACTAGGAAGCAGAAATAAACAAACAAACAAAAATCTCAGCTTCTTGCTGAGTTACTTCAGAAAGGTTAAAAAAAAAGCAGTGTACATCTTATATCCTCAGTGGTCAGAACGAAGATCCTTTTTCTTGGACTATAAACTCTGGCTAGCTTTTCACAATCTTTGTTCTATTTGAGCAAGTTGGGGAACAGTTAATTCAGGATGCTCACAGATAATGAGTTTGGAAGAGTCTGGTTTGGTTTTCACTTACTGTTAGACACATCAGATATGTAAATAAGTTTCTAGCTCCAAAACAGTTTTGACATAAAAGCTATTTACAAGAAATTCTCTTTCTACTCCCTGGTTTTTACCAGATGTTGAATATTTCAAAAAATGCTTCTTCCAGGCTTCATGCAGTATAAATTTTATAGCCTTTTTTCTAAATATGGCATTGTTAAAGATATTGTAAAAGCTATTTTTCCACCTGCTCTTCACTTCAAGTGAAATTTATTTTAAGCCTTGCCATTTTTTCATGTCACAGTTCTTCCTTGTCAGGTGGAGTTATATAGCATTAAAAAAGAAAGTTTAAAGGTACCGAAATTAACTCACTGATTTTTCATGGTAACGTAGATGGAATCAACATTTTGAAAAGCCAGTCTAACCATTCTATCAGTTAAACTACATAGTACTTTTAGATTTTCAAATGCTAAATGAACTCAACTGGAGTGTGAAGTCATAATATTCTAAAACATAATTCTTGAGAACTGCTTCACTAGTCTCACAGAATCTTGTTCATCTGTAAAAGTCTAGTATCATCAACTTCTTAAAAATCTTAGCTCTATTATTCTTTTTGAAGTGACCTTTATGTCTTGCAGTCACAGGTGAGCAAAACTTAAGATATGAATTGAATGGAAATTATTTTTAGCTTTAGAAACAATTACCCTACGTGCATGTGTCCAATTCCCACAGAAATTAATGGAATTTGTGTGTGTATATACAGACAATACACTATCGTATTGTGCTTAAGAAAAAAAGGGTAAGGGCCGTGAAGGTCCTTCACTATATACTGGATCTTTAACATCATGCAAGTGAATAAGCATGAAAGAAAAGACCACAGAACCAACATTCTTTGTCATTGAACAGAGAATTCAAAAACCATCACTAGAATCTAAAGAAATAAAGTCTGCTTAGTACAGTCTTAATTTATTAAAAAAAAAGTAAGTCACAAGATTCCAATTCACCCCTGCAAAATCACATGAAGTGACTTTCAGAAGCATGATTTTACCCCTCTAAGGTAAATGGAAAAAAATGTGCACAAGTACTTAGTCCTGTATAACAATTAGGATGAAAAAAATTACTGTGCATATAAAAATATCCTTTTTTTCTTATGAAAACCTTTGATCTCATTCCCCTCACACACTTCAAAATGATTTCCAGGCCTAGTGTCTATTCCTAGGAAACTTCAACAGGAGAAGGGTGAGACCCACTGTGTACAGAAAAATAAAAATACTGTTTTGGGCAAAAAATTAACTCACAAATGAGTATTTTTAAATGCTTACGAACAGCAGTTACATTTATCAGTGTGTTTAGAAACCTCCAAACCCCCTGTTCGCTAGGGAAACACCAACAGCTCCTCAAGGATCACAGCAGCAGCGGTGCCGCTGAATAGCACCATGAATGCCTTGCCTTAAGGTGGATAGTTTGAGCAAGGGTGGGGCCAGGAATCTCTGAAGGGGATGAAGAGGATCAAGGAAATTCTATAATTAAGCAATATTCTACAGCAGCTTATGGCAGCTGTTGGAACCAGTGGAAGGACTGGCTGGGGGGTGCCACAACAATTAGCAAAATTCTTCCTCACCAGACCATACGCAGCCTATCGCCCTCAGCACCATGCCTGCCCCGCGTCTTACCAAGGTCACCTTATACCAACACCTGCTGGTTCTGCAGACTTGGGGATGCACTTCAGTTATTGCTGTCATCTTTCTAATCCTGAAAGGGGGAAGAATTTATTGTTCACTAAAAAAAGTAAGAGCGAAATATTTTAGATTGTCTCTAGTAAGAAAACTGTACATATGCTATGTGCTCCCTTGGAATATTAAAAGAGAATTTGTGAATGCTTCTCTGTAAGAATCCTCCATTAAGCACTCTTCTTAATTGTTAAGAAAATACTAATGGGTTAATTAATCCTCAACTTCAGGTAGCCTTAGTTTCAAAAGATGAACCTTTAGTATTGGATATATTGTAATTTATATATACCAACATTTTATATTTCTTTGCAGATATTCTGTCTTCTCCACGGCCATTATAGGCACAAAAGAAGGGCAGGACGTGGTTCAATAACTGTATGAGAATACTGTTCTCTCTGTAGCATGCAGTTGGATTCTTCCTTTGCCATGCTTCTTTTCCCCCTCTCTCACCACAGACTGGAGAATTTCAAGAACCAAGTTCTGCCTCTCATCACAACATGAAAAGGCTTTACAGAAACTACAGCACCATGTCCTAACATCATGCACCCACCTGTGCATTTGATAACTATAACTCATTAAGTAGACTGCAACAGTCCCCACAACGTGGGAACTATCTTCAAAACACGCAAGAGACAGTCACTTCTCTTAAAAATGTAAAGCTTGAAGATCATGCAATAATTTCAGCAGGGTAGGACAATTTTTATGGCTTGTCACTTGTTCACAGCTCTGTTAAATGCAAACTTAAGTGGAAATGGAACTGAGTTAAATTATGATCTGAACCACATCTTGTTAAAGACAATGAGCTTCACTCTGGCATGAGCCCACACAGAACACGTTTGGAGAAAAATCTTTATTGGCATAGACAGTTTACATGCCAGACTGTGCAGACAAAGCATCAATTTCACTAGGTTTGCAGTTGCCTTAGTCTTTTCTTTTAGCTTATGTTTACATTACACACACAAAAAAAGGAATGTGAAAAGTTTAATTCAGTGAACCAAACTAACATACTCAGTGTTAGCTTCTTTTGGTCCTCTCACGGCTGTGCATTGTGATACCATTGTTAATTATATCATCACACACTATTTTTCCAGAGAGTGCCTGCTTTACTAAGTGCGTTTGACTAGTCAAAGGCTCAGTTACTGACGTGCTATTAAGTATTTTATCTAGCATGCAGCTTTATCCCATATTTACCACAAAATTCTCAAACTCCGTTTTAGTGACAGATGTCATAAATTGTCTTTAAAAGATAATGAGTAAATCATCACAGTGCAACTTCAGAGATTTCCATTCAGTTTTGCAAGGCTGTCCCCATTTTACAGATCAGGAGTGCAACGTACCTAGAAGTATCCAGTTATTTCAGGGAGCACTTTGAAACATCTAGGCCCTGACCTTACAAAATAGGTATCGCTTTTGTGTCCAAAACACAGCATCCAGTGATTTCAGCTATCACTGAGAGTGCCTGGCATATTTAGAAATCACGGGGCGGGGCGGGAAGGGTTAGTGTAGGTTGGGGAGTTCTTTCTCTCAAACACATACACCGTTTCATGCAGTTAAATGGAGACAAAAATCCATTTCCATACAGCGAGCGCTAAAATAGATGAACAGAAGATGAAGGAGTAGACCCTTTCTATAGGCTGTCTTGTAAAGACACAACAATTCACAAAAATATTTTTAGCAAATAATGGGTAAAAATGGCATTCCCCACAGACAACACTTACCAGGTCCTTTCTCTTGTAGCTTTATCACCTGTAACAACCACATTAAAAATGAATACTATCTGCATATCAAGTATTTCCATTAGCCTGACATTTTCCAACATCATATAAAGAAAAGTTGATAGGTCTGGTTCTCTTCCAGGTACTCAAAGAAGAATGCTATTACCTTCTTTCTCATATACACAAGTGGAATGTACATTTATTTTTAGATGGGTTCCATCTCATCTAAGAAGGTAAGTGAGAAATAATGAGTTCTTGTAAAAAGTAGCGATGGTACTACAGAAGAACCTAGACAGGATGAGTTAAGACTATTGGTGTATGTATGGTTGGCTAAGTACAGACACAGAGTATTTATCTGGCACTGGCCTATGTCCAGGGCCATGCTGCAGGCACGTGGTACAGAGTGCTGGTAAATTGACAAAAAAACCTTGACAAATGGTAAGATTCTCCTTTCATGGGACAATACTTTGAAGCAGGAAAATCAGTCAGTTGCAGTGTGTTCCCTGCTATTTAGCACTTGACTTGACTAACATATTGATGGTTCTAGATGTTTCCAAGCCTCTGGGGCAGACCATGGGACGCTTGGGCTGTTGCAAATAAAACAAAAACCAGATTTAAAGTCTGCTCTATTTTTCTGTGGTTCTAAATCACAAACAATACATGCGGCCGTTTAAGGTCACAATTCAATCCTGGTAGATTGCATTAAAAAGCCACAAGCAGGTAGCCTACGCTTGGCTAACAGAACATCTCTGTGGTTTCATGGCCACAGCACTGCTGAAAGGGGTGGCCTACCGGGCATGGCACGCTCTCACCATTTCCTTTGTGCCAGTCCCAATAGCCATGCCGTGGCGAGGTGAAACGAATGAACACCTTAGTCGACTTGTTGAACCTAAGGAAACAAACCTTGCTGATTATTTCAGCTAGATTAACAGATTGATCTGACTGACCCTGCAGCCCCATGACTGCTAGCCAAAACAAAACTGAGAAGAAGGTTTGGCAATACGAGGGCAGGGCCAGGCCAACCCTTTCAGCTTCAACTGTGAGATGGCTGGGTTAGTTTCAGTCTATTTCATATTCAGTTGTGTCTAGTGATTTCTGACAGAGGAGGGAAGAACAGGAAAGATTAATGGAAATCTACAGCGATATTTTCATTTTATACCAGAAATAGACATCAACGAACACATGCTTTACTATATTTTTAGTATGAAGAACTTTTAAAACTTCCCTCTCTTAAATGGAAGACATTTGCCTATTCTTAGGGCACTCTCAAAACACGCACTGGCACTTAAGAGTAAGCTAGTGTAGCCAGCCCACGTTTACAGCTGCTGCAGAGCACTCCGGGTGGCCCCTATTGATATCCTTGAAACAACTGGTGGTAGGCAGCAAGAACAGCTGTTAAGCATTATTTTCTAGCTTCAGCATTTTAATTATCTGCTGACATTATTCACTGTTAATCAGGAAAGCAAAAAAGTTTGCCTCATTCAAAACCAAAATGTTAATAATATTTTGCAAAAGATGATGCACACAGTATATCCCTACGAAGAGAAAATACCTATTAGGCGGAAGAGCTTAAAGCTGCACGCTATTGATTTCATTTATACCGTTCCTCTCAACAGTTGGAAAGAATAGGATTTTATCTTGCATTGTATCACTAAAAGCACACAAACACATACAAAACCCAGAATCTCTCAATCACTTCTCCTTTGAAAGTGCAGAAATTAATAACTAACATTCCGTAGTTCAATATTCATTACTATAGTAGGTTCAGGTGACTGTCTACAGTATTTCAGCCTGCAGGTTTAGCTAATAAAATTCATGGCACTTGCTTTTTCAGACACTGATAACGTTTCATGAAAATTTCATGAAGCTTTAACAAGGAGACACAATGTAATTATTAAACTGATTGAACCATGGACTTTGTTCTCCTACTGCATGTTCATCGTAATTGCTAATCTTGAAGCTGGAATATTACATAACTATTTGAATATTTATTATCCTATGCTAAGTACTAATTAAAATAATTTATTTGGTGAAAAGAGTTGCTCTTTTCCTGAATTAGTTTCAGCATTATTCGCTACTGTGAAGAGAACTTTAAGAATGTCCTGCTAAGCTTCCCTGTAACTGACTGATTCCATTGTTGGTATACGCTGAGGACTTAAAAAACATTAAACTAGTTATACAAATGGAAACAAAACACCCTTTGAGTTCTATTGACAACTTAACCTTTAGAATTTGGATGAAATCCCAATTCTTCAGAGGAAGAAAAAAAGGTACTGAATGAAACTATTATATAGAACATTCTTACGGGATTTTTTAATGTATACACTTACAGTGGCATTAATGCATTTGTTTACATGATGAGTCCCTGTAGCACTCTATTTAAAGAGACATATTAACGATTCTATTAAAACCATGTCTATTTTGTTTTGGGGAAAAATGTAATAATCTGAAGACAAATATTCCTTTGTGAGAGATACATGACATTTTCAGATTCATGAAGTTACAGAAATTGTTAAATAGGTTACAGAATGAAAAATAATTAACTGTCCTCCACATGAGCTAGAGGGCTATAATCAGGTTTTGTTGTGAATGCCTCTATTTACCAATATAAAAGCCATGTCAAAAGTAACCATATTTATGAACAATCAGGGTTTACATGCATGAAATATAAAATGGTGCTGTCTTGTAACAAGAAAGGGAGAAACAGCCCAATCTAATAAATACTCTTTTACTACCAAGCTGGCATTTCTAGACAAGCTGTTACTATTTTAACATATTACACGTTCCAGTAAAAATAAGTAAATAAACAAACAAGAAAGCCCCCTTCAACTCCGCAGAATCCCCTTACAGGGAAATAATCAAAATCCTCCCCAGCCAAGAACAGACAGTAGGACAGACAAACAACCCAGAACAAAACAGGACATAAAATCCCTATGAAGTTATAGAAAAATTCTCTTTTAAAATTGTATCCCACTGCATTGGCCAGAGGCAGAGAAATATATGACACTGCAGAATTTGGTCCCAGAATTCTCTTTTGCAGTCTAGATTTTTATTTCATGTTTTGCTTTCTGCCAGAAAATCAACATTAATGTTTCCAGAGCATTGTACATTTGGCATGTGCATTAAAAAAATGGGATTTTTTTCTAGTCCTGGTGACCTTTTCATCAGAGAATTAATAGGGTTGAACTCATAATGCCAATAAAACTCTGCTATTTGTGCTATTTAACTAACCGTCATGTACTGTTTGCTCTTTGCAATTTGAAGAATAACTGTCAAGAGCTTCAGATCATTGCAATATATTCAAGCACGCTTTTGTAAAAGGTTTTTGTTGCAGAAATAAATTATTTTCTACTCCAGAAGTAGGTACACCTGCAATCCTGTCTACCTGCAGGTTTTGGTACCATACAGGGACCAGCATTTCTTAAAAAAACAAAATGGTGTTACCACAGTCTCTAGAATTTCTTTCCACAAATGCACAGCAGTTGTTCTAACTTTTTCCTATGACAAGCTCTCTTTTTCCACTTCTGCTTGGTCAGAGTTTCCAAACGATAACATGAATTGGCTTGAGGAATATATTTCCCAAACAGATGATTCTCCTTCACTGGAAACTGAGCACTCTGGCTCAAAATACACACATTTTGCAAAGCAATTCCTGGTACTGCAACTCTCATTCAGAGATCATTCTCACAACCTCAGCTTTCAGGTCAGTACATTTATTAAGCTCAAAAAAAAGTCAAAATAGCTTCTGCTTTCTGAACTTTACAGGCAGCGATCTTTATACTTTAATACGAATGCCAATGGCTACAGCACAACAGACATGCGGAGTCAAACTATATCCAAAAATATACTGTTTTTTTCCTCAAAGCCCCAAATCCCTAATTCTTCAGGCCAAGATTTACAACTTGTCAGTAAGACTTCAACTAGATTGCCAAAATTACTTTGGCAAAAGCATTTTCTCCTATGATTTAGTTACAACATAAGAAATTAAAAATAATGTTTAGGCAACAAGCTTCATTCATTATATCACAGATATAACTGTTCAGGTGAATAAAATTGCTTTGGATGTGTATTTATCTACCACAATAGTGGCTATGAGGTAGCTAGAATTATTTTAAATTTCAAGCCCCTGAAATCTCCCAGTATTTTAGAAATTTTTTTTGTTACTGAAAAATTGTCAGGAACAACTTTGTGACTGTTAACCGTAAGTGCTGAAGTTTTACCAACTTGCCAGTGATGCAATGCATCATATTTTTATTTTGCAGGTTTATTTAATGAAAGAAGCAGACACTGAAAAAAGGGCAGCTCACAGTTGCATTACAAGATTGCTTGCTGCTTGTGGAAGCAAATCTTCTATTGATTTCACTGGGAGTGATGCTTGTACAAGCAGGATGGAATCGCTTAGAGGGATAACAAAGAATCTGTGCTTCATGCTGCTTATCTAACCACCAAACTCTGTTTTTCGGTCCCTGCTCTCCTTTCAGTGTTATGTGGTGTAGAACAAGAAGCATTCTTTCAAACCTGTGTGTCTGAAGTTAAATAAACACTTCTAAATTTCTTTTATAACGTGTAATATGTATATAAGGACGTGGACACGTGATTACTCGAAAGAGTTGTACTGCCCAAGCATTTTCGCAAGGTTTGAGAACCCTGCCCTCCCACACCAGGCTCTGTACTAACTAGCCTGCTGGTCAGTGGTAACTACACACAGATGACATTCTTGCAGACAGTTATAGCCAAAGGGGTAGAAGATCCATATGTATTTAAAAGCCAGCCAACTAACCAGCTTGCCCTGCCCCCCCCAACCCTACAAATCCAAAACTTTTAGATCTCATTCATACAGTGGAAAAAAGTTAGACTCTGGACAATATGGGCAGAGAAAGAGGGTATCAGGATGCCTTTGACATTTCCTCCATAAAATAAATTCAATGGGAGAAAATCTGCTTCATTCTGAGACGCCCGTGAACTTGAATGGATCAGGACTTCATCTTACTTCCTCTATTTGAACCATTTTTATCACTACTGAGAATACAGTAAGGACAAAAGACAATTCAGGATAAACATTATTTTTTAACAGACAGAAGGTAGAACAGAATTTTGCCCTCTTTGTAAGTCCTCGTAAGGTGAGGAAAAGGAAAGCAATCAACCAAAATCAACCAATGTATGCTAAGGAAAATAGAGCATAGCTCTTTCCTCTTCTCTGTAAGATTAAGAAGAAATCCATTAGGACTCCTGATACTGAAAAAAACACCCTCACTTTCAGGACCTGAAGGAACATCTGATGGATTTTATGAAAATAACGACAAAACCCTGTCTCTCATCAACATCTTCTCTACTATTCCATATTACCCACTTAGGGGCTTCCCTCAGAACATGGGAAAATTTCAAAGGGTTCAATCTCTTATATGGCATACACACACAAGAAAAATCGCACCACTTCTTCCAGTGAATTGACTCACAGGAAACGAATTAAAATTGGTTGAATTTCTCACAGCGTCTGTGGGTTTACATGGTTTTATTACCCCCTTGCTTTTAATTTTGAAGGTCAGCTTAGAATATATTTAAAAAGTTTAAAAAACAAATGGTTCTTTTCACAGTCAGCACTGATTATCCACTGCCTTCTGCTCACACAACTTTAACTCACAGGTTATGTGCTGCGAGGTCCTCAGTACCTCACTCCACTAGACAAAAAAGGGATTAGGTTATAACTAACCTTTTCAGGAGTTTCTTACAAAACTTTGATTCCCAAAATATTGTTTCCAGCTCTTCAGAAAGTTTCAGTACACAAAGGTCGGGAGGTGTCCTATTTCTTTTTTTTTTTTTCTTTATGATTCATGGTGGAGGTGATTAGCTAGCAGACGAATTTTTCTTGGACCCTATTTCTACCTTCCATATGATGAGCTGATTAGTTCCCATGGAAGAAAAGGCAGTACAAATAACCATACTAATCGCTAGAGTTCAGA